TTTTGCTTGTGTGTGTGTGTGTGTGTGTGTGTGTGTGTGCGTGTGCGTGTGCGTGTGCGTGTGCGTGTGCGTGTGCGTGTGCGTGGATCCAATAGACGTACAGCAATAGTTCCCTGAGTGGAGAGGGCCAGGTTTACGAGTGGGACACCCAACAGCCACACGATTCAGAGAAACACCTTCCTGTCTTTTCCCCTGTGATTCTTTCAGTGTCGGCCAAACTTTTTTTACAAGGTTTTCACGAGTTAAAGATTGATTACTCGTCTGCCATGTCGCTCCAGGGCTGTGTTCCTTTTTTAGATACAGGCACTTATCAAAGTCCCGTCAGCATAGAGGGAGAGTGTGCACATCCTCATCCCAGGTGTGATGGTAGGTTCCTCAAAAGGGATACTTTACCCACAACATGACTATTTGAATACCGGTTACTCGCCGCGTATTACCTTCATTTCTTGAAGTTCCTCCAGGGTGAACGAGGGGTCCAGAGACAGAGAAAAGTCTGGATGAGATGATCATCCAGTTCGCTACGTCCCAAACACGTGCATTTTCACTTATTATTTAAAACACCCTTGCAACCACACTACGAGTCCTTAGTGTTTAAATAAAAAGGTTTAAATGAGATTGCAGGAAACTTGTAGAATGCTGCACAACTTGGGGGAGAAATTGTTTGTTTTTGATGAAGTCTTGCTTTTGTTAAAACTGTGTTTGACCCCCATTTTCTTTCTTCGTTCACCACGGAGGAATCCAGTCGATGTCAAAGGGAGCACAGGCTGAGTGACTGATAAACAACATGGTCATTCAGAGGGTGAAGTATTCCTTAAAGGGAGTGTGTGCCTCCTGAGGAAAAGTGCTGACTGGCTGCTGATCCAATGGATGAGGTGTGAGCTGTGCTACTGGGGAGTTTGGGGGGTCTGCAGCTTCACTGGCCAGGTGGGAGGTGAACTCTGAGCCTCCCTCTGATTTACAGTCCCACCTCCCAAAGGACGTGAGAGGAGTGGTGGTGGTGTCAGGCTGTCTTTGAGCTGTTGGTTTTCACCGTGTGTTGGTTGGACTGCGCTCTCGGGAATCTAGTTTTTCAGTGTGGGAGGGGGCTCACATTTACATACTCCACCTCCAGTGCTACGGGAGCAGTAGTGTCGGGGCGGCGTGTGTCATCAGCAGTCCTTGTTCTCCAGAGACAGCTGAGCGGTGGCTCGGTGCAGCTCGGCGCTCACCCTCCGCTGCGAGCTCTGCGGCGTCGCTAAAGTCCCCTCGTACGCCAGTGGGGGAGGACTGTCCCCCTCTCCACTTCCTGTCCCGTCCTCCTCCGTCTCCATCCTCCCGTTACTCTGCCTCTCCCGCTCCCTCTCCTCCTCCGGTCGGACTTTCTTGTCGTCCGACTCCTCCTGAGAGGCCTCCATGCGCTGGTCCTCGCTCCAGCGCCTCTTGAAGCGCAGCTTGAGGGGGATGCACTTGGTCTGAGGCGGGGGGGTGCAGCTCTCCACTGGTTCCACCGGTTCACTCTTCAGGGGGGGGGGCAGCAGCAGCGTGCGATGTGCTGTGTGCTGAGAGGTGAAGAAAGGTGTCAGGCCAGGGGGAGGCGGAGCAGGGGTTTTGAAGACGTCTTCGTCCAGGTCTTCTTCGGGGTGGAGGTGGTGGTGATGTGAGGGCGCGCCTGAGCCGTTAGCCAGGTGGTGGTTGTGGAGGTGGAGGAGGTGGTGGTGGTGTTCAGGGGCTCTGGGGTATCGAGGGGAGAAGAGCTTAAACTCTTCATCTCTCTCATCCAGATCCTCGTCACTGATGTCGGTCACCTCCACCTCTTCCTCTGATTCGATGTCAGAGATGGGCTCCACCTGGACGGACAGGGAGAAAGATGAACACATCTGGACATATAGAAACTTACTTACAATCAATTATGACATTATTGAGACTTGGTCATAAGGAACAGTGAAAACCATTGAAGCCCAATGTAATGATATAAGTTAGATTTACTAGCTTGCTATGAAACTATTTGGTAATGGAGTTTTTAAAGTTCTTATAATGAGGACTTTCATAGAAATAAATATGTGTTAAGCAATTTTTTATTTATAGCCAATTTTATCGTTGCTGCGGTAACACAATGGAAATTGAACCTATGACTCACTAAAAGTATTGCAATATAGATTGAATTGCATTTTATTTAGTTTAGATGACATTAGATTTGCAGTATGAGGCAGTGGGAGTTTGTGTTGACATTCCCAGAAAATAGCTATATTCGGTCCTTGTTAGTAAAAAAACCCACATTTTCTACAGCTTCACATCAAAAGCATTGAACTGGCAAAACGTGACGTGATTCTTTTTTATTAAGAAGCCACACATTTGTCGGCTATTGCTCATTGGAAAACCATGTACAAAACAGGTAACCAGTCATTCTTTGAGCGTGGATCAGTTGGTGGTCAGTGTATCTCACCTTTATCTTGGGGAGTCCCGCGTTGTTGAGCGACTGCGTTGATGATGAGGCGGAGATGAGTCCGGAGCAGCCGGCCGAGCTCAGGTCGCTGCCGAACGACAACGAGGAGCCGAGGCCGGACGTGGAGGTCATGGATCCTGACCCCGAGGAGAGAGAGCTCTGCCGGGGTTTCTGACTCTCCCTCTGCTTCTTCCCTAGGGGCGGGGGCTGCAACTTGAACTTGAAGGGGGACATGTGTGGAGGCTCCTCACTCAGGTGCAGAGGGTGATGCATGGGGTGAGAGTGGATGTGAGGGTGGGCAGAGTGAGGTGGATGTGGATGGTGGTGGGCAGAGTGAGACAGAGACGGATGGTGGTGTCGCTCTCCTCCCCTCTCTCTCTCCCCCCTCTCTCCGGACAGACCCGCCTTCTCCGCGGCCGGCCTCTGGGGCTGCGGGATGATGATGTTGGGGTAATGGAGGAAGGCTCGGGGGCTCAGGCCGTAGTTGTACACCGACTGGGTGTGAGCCTGCAGGTAGCGCTTCATGTCCTCCGGGTTGAAGGAGAAGTGGGAGCCTAACATGGGTGAGAGGCTGGGTGAGGGGGTGTAGGGAAGGTGAGATGTCGGGGTCATGGAGAGCGCTGGTGAGAGAGGAGGGGCGAGGAGGCCGGCTCCCCCTGGGCCTGGGAGGGGGGAGACGGGGAAGGGAGAGAGAGAATCAGGGTGGATGCGGTGCCCGGTGTGGCCTCGGGAGCCATGGTGCCCTGCGTGGCTGCCCGGACCTCCATACATGCGGAACAGCGTCTCATGAGACAAACGAGGATGGATGAGGCTACGGTAACTTATTCCTCCTCCTCCTCCTCCTCCACCACCACCACCACCTCCTCCACCAGGTCCAGGTCCTCCTCCCACTCCTCTCTCCCCCCTCTCCTCCGCCGCTGCCGTGTTGCCCTCCTCGATCTCAGAGTTGACCGAGGTGCCGTCGCTGCAGTCGCTCACGGAGCCTCGGGCCATGCGTCGGGCCACGGAGCTGAACATGCCGCCCGGGCTGCGCAGGTCCTCGTTCGGGGAGAGGACCTCGTTGGGCGTGGCGGGAGGGAAGCCGAAGTGAGACCTGACACCGGAGGGGACTGGGGGGGCGCTCTGAGGGACGTTGCTTCCTGGAGACGTTGAGGGAAGGAGAAGAAAAAAAAATTCTCAGAAATAATATATAAAGTTCTGCTGAGTAATCCTATGCAATCATGCTATCTCCACACACACACACACACACACACACACACACACACACACACACACACACACACACACACACACACACACACACACACAGTCAACTCTAAAAATGGAGTGACCCAACCCGCTTTGTGTGTGTGTGTGGACAGGCTGTGCCTTGCCCATTGTTGGGCTGTAAATAGGCGCTGACTGTGACAGGAAGTCGGGATTACAATACTCCCCATGAGCCCCATGTTTATTTTCTGCCTCTTTCGTCATCATTGGACGCCGTTTACACACACACATCTCAGCTAGATCCTTTTCTGTCCACACACAAACACACACACACCAGCTGCTCAGTCAGGTGTGTGTACAAGTTGCACATGTGAGTGAGTGCAATGCGTAGTGCAGAAACCAGGTTTGACCAGTGAGTCAAAGAGGGAAATGTGTTCGTGCAGGAATATGGATGTTAGTGAGTGTGTTTGCCTGTGAGGAGGGGGATCAGGTCAGGGTCCGATTACGAGCGTCACATGCTCTGTGGGTGTGAATATGTACTCGAGCACACTCTGGCGTGTGTGTATGTATTACGCCCTCGTTGAATATAAAGGGCCTCATTCAGTCGGGAACAATGACATACACACAGCGCTCATGTACGCTGAACACATACATGCTGCAGATGGAGACAATGGAAAGACAATGCAGGCATACGTTGAACACAGAGTGGTACAGTGGGGCTGTCCCCTCTGCACTTTCCCTCCAGGCTCCGGCCCTGGGTGTTTCCACACAATGCGCTGATGTAGAGGCCTTCTGACCTACAAACAGGCCGGGCCAGATAGGTGAGCAACAGTGTGTGCATATGCACCAGTATTTCCTGCAGGATGCTGTGTGGATGTGGGCACGTGGGGTTACTTCTAAAAGCAGGGCCAGTTTCAGTGCAGAACTTTAAATGGTTATGTATTTCAGGGCTTCCCTTGGAAGACCTGAACAGTTGGACTTTCTCGTTGTTGTAAACTCTCCATCATAATGTATTATTACGGCCTTATTTTAGATAGAATAGAATGGGAGGGATGAACCCCTCTTTAATGGTCACACATGCAGAGCACACAGCACACAGCGACATGTGTTCTCTGCTTTTAAACCATTAAAGAGGGGTTCATCCCTCCCATTCTATTCTATCTAAAATAAGGNAAAGCAGAAGAAGAAGAAGAAGAAGAAGAAGTGACGCCAGCGGCTTCATTTGCGTAATCCTCCCTCAGGGACTTATCCCTACTACTACTAGATAGTTCTGCAACTAAAGATTTCCGGGGAACTATTCCTGGGAAAAGTACTTGGTGTGAAAGGGCCTACATTGTTTGACATTTGTTTAATGCAGTTAGCATTATGGACTGTAATTTTCCTCCATATGTTTAACTAATGCTTCACAATCAATCATAATTGTATCAAAGTCATAATATGGACTAGTGCAATATTAAATCACAGAAAGCACAATATTTGCCAAAGAATAATATAATAAGTATTGAAGAGCTACACAGATATCTCGTGCTAAAATCGTTTTACAGAATTAAAAAAACATATTTTCTTGGTACAGATCCTCTTAAAAATCACACCATGGTCATTTCAATATATTCCCTTTTTTAAATATCTAATCCCTATTTCAAAATCGCAATATTATACAATGATACACTTTTCTTTTTTTTCAAGTGATGGAGCCCTATTTTGAACGCAATGTCATAAGATAATAGGAAAATAGCACCTTTCCACTATTATATTGCATTACATCAGATAAGGTAATAATTGTCTTTTTGATCAGTCAGTGTAATGTGATTATTTGAACCAAACATTATGAACTAACATCACCTGGCATTAAATATCCTGCGCAACAACACTTTATCAGGGTGGATGTTTTTCCTTCGGTTACTGCACCTCCTCACATGTGCCTTTTCTAACTGCTGTGAGGAGGATATTGTTGATGAAATAAAATGCGAGCTATATCTGGCTGAATATTACACTGTATTAGTCAATTTGGCTGGGTCGTGTCAAATTATGTTGACCACCCAGGCGACAGAATGTTTGTGGGAGACTTGCACAAACATTTTCAAACACGAGCACTGGCACATAAAACTAACTTGTACAACATTTGGACACACACACGTACACACACACGCTCGTGAAAACAGTCATATGCCCACACCCACAGTCTCTTACTCTGCAGCAGGTGGAGAGAGATGGAGGGACAGACAGGAGAGATGACTGGCCATGTTGTTTTCCTTCTGGTCATAGGAAAGAGTGACTTCATGAGAGGAAAGAGGTGGAGGAGAGGTGGAAAGGTTTTTCATGTGCCGTTCCACAAAGCCCACTAGCACTACAACTTTCAGTATTGTAGTTTCAGTGTGTGAGTGTGTTTCCTCTGAAGAGCTTCTGTGGTAATGACAGCAGGGAAGTGTGGTTTCTACAAAAGCCTTAGACTACCTCCACATTAAGCGCTCTGCATATTTATTTGCATCTCCACTAAGATTTTCTAGGTTGTTCTATTAAAGGCCGCAGTCTGACATTTAAACAACATGAAGAAGGGACAAAAAATATGTTGGTTTTCGTCTGTTTGATTTTAAACACGTGTTTTTTTTATAACACCATTCACAGTTTCGTACGCTAACCGCCCCGCTTTCTTTATCTCTCTTTCATAGGGATCGCTTTCCCAGAGTGGGCTTACAAGCCAGAGTCGAGCCCCGGGTCCCGACAGATCCAGCTGTGGCACTTCATCCTGGAGCTGCTCAGGAAAGAAGAGTATCACGATGTTATCGCCTGGCAGGGGGACTATGGAGAGTTCGTCATCAAGGACCCAGATGAGGTGGCCCGGCTGTGGGGAGCCAGGAAGTGTAAACCCCAAATGAACTACGATAAGCTGAGCAGGGCTCTCAGGTATGAAGACACATACACTGAATGTGTTTGATTCATTTGGTATCTGTCGGTAAAAGTGTGTAGTCACTTCCTCCTGTTCCTGCTCTTTAACTTCTCCTCTGTGGGGACCAGCAAATGCACCAGATGAGCACATCACTATGATGACCTGACAGAGCTCCATATTCACATATAAATCTACCGTATGCTAATATTTAACGAGCGCACAAGCTCCAGTTGAATGGGTTATTTACTGAGGCAATCAAATTACATAAAAACGATTTACAATAGCCATGGTGGTTATATAAATCCACAGCACACTTGGAAAATAGCATTAGGTAACGTAGGTGGAAATTCACAGTTTGTATAACAGGTGGACCCCCCCCTCTGAAACCAGGCCTGATGAGTAAACTTGCAGTAATCTCCCAACAAAGAGAAGTGTAGGGTTGTAGTGCGTTGCCACATGGACGGTAGGAAAAAGCATGAGCCTTGTGGGACTAGCTTCTGGCTCTCAGGGCATCGGATGAGCCGGAGTGTGTTTCTCTGCTTCATTGACAGAGGATGAAATTGCAGCTTCTCCATATCATTCGAGAAGGACAGGCAGTACCTTTCCCAGGCTCAGCAGGAGAGGAGACCTGCTCACTTCCAATAGGGATATTGTCGGGTAATGGAGGGATACTTTAAATAATTTCTACGCTGTTAATGGGGAACACTCAGAAGACTTGCAATTCTTGTATACTTTTTTTCTTATATTCAGGGGCATTTTTGATGAGAGCAAATGAAGCGAGAGGGACAAAAAGAATGACAAGCAGAAAGGGTCCCTAAATGGACATGATCCATACAGCCTGCGCCCAAACTCCAAGGACCATCAGGGTTCCTTGACCTGAGTATCTCGTCTGTGGAGGTCACAGAAGTAGTAAAAGACTCTGCAGTTACATGACGTAACAGAAGAATGAGGGCTGTGATCATGTGTTTAACTGCTGACCAACCAAGCTCTGCTTCTTTTATAACTTAAAAAAAGTTTACCAGAGCTTAGAGAATTAATCAGAACCCTCAAAAAATGTGCTCACACTAGAAATAAACTGGACCAAGGCTCAGTTTGACCTTGAGCGAGAGCACCTCTTCTCCTCCGGCCGAGGTCAAGCTGTTTTTGTCAGACCAGGGTCAAGCGGTTTAAGTGATGCATTGATCCAGCAAGAACTTTCTTTTCCTTGGACTATTGTGGTAAAGAGAGAGCTGAGCCTGAAGGAGATGCATCAGTCGATCCAACGCTCACCTTTGGTCGTGAACTCTTGAGTTGCGTCGTGTCTTTTGAAATACTTGATCAAGAGGCCATCCCACTACATGCTCCTTCCCAGCAGCAATGTGGTTTCCATGTGCTAAGAGGCTGTGAGCACGTGTTGAGTGAAGAGAGAGGTTGTTTCACACACATATATAAACTAGCCCTGGCGCAACTATTTAGTAGATGATGTTATGACTCTTAATCACACACAGACTATCCCGAGGCTACACTTATTGTGAAGAAACATTCTGTCGTCCAAATTACCAGATAACCATCTGTGACCCTGACATTTGATTCCAGTTATATCAATGACCTGCTGGAAGCATTTCATTCAGACGCACATACCCCAATAGCTTTAACTCCCCCTCTCTGTTTCACCCACACATTGCATTGCCTGACGAAGCACTAATAGCCCTTTAATCAAGTCTATATAAAGTGTAAATGTCGTAAGAGTGGCCACATGCCTTCACACGCTATTGACCTGGACAAGTTTAGATACTATAGTGCTCCAAGTAGAGTTACAACACTGACCCATTTGGCTGCTCACACCTATAACACTATAACACCCTTTTCCATTAGTGAGGTAAGACGATTCCCCTCCATGATCATGATTGGCTTTACATTACCCAACGCACAACCCACTGCACCACGCCTACCCGCTGATTTGAACATAATTATAAAGAATAACACGGGGGGAATATTTCTAACTTTTTGTATCTGAGGTTCAGTTTGAGTTTTTCTCTGGTTAGATCTGCTTAGCTGACTTTTAATGGGCTTTGCTTTTTTACGGGGTAAATCAAATTGGACTGACATGAAGTCAATAAAGCAAATTGCTTCAAGACCAACAAAATAGTTTGGGGTTTTGCAAGTGAAAAAGTCCTATAAAATAGATAAAAGCGGAGCTGCACAACACATGCTTCTGATTTTGTTTGTGCTTTTGGCTTTCGCAATGAGACAATAGGTCATAATATTTTTTCATTATAGAAAGAAGAAACATCTGGAAGAACCTTGTGATCTATATTATAACACAATGGCACATTTACGTTCAGCTATATACAGACAACACATATCTCTGTGCGACTTTTCTCAGCTGATGTTAGCTAGGTAAGAAGAGCATCTCATATACGGTGTTGTTTGACCTTAGCTTTTTGTTTACAGCCAAACAAAGCTAAGCTTAAGATAAGCTCTTCAAAGAAAGCTAACGTAAGGAAATGCACTGAACTTCTTAATTTAGGGTTAGCCGGGGGGTTTATGTGTGTGGTCATTTACACTGGTGAGATTAAGATAATGTCTGGTACAGATGGGATCCTGTGGGAACATAGGGAATTAACATGGACTACTGATGTGGGGATGTACACACCCGTTCCCAGTCTGGATTTAGGATTCCTGAATGAGAGAGGAAGTGAATATAGACGAGGATGCTTCTGGTCAAGCTGTGTATTTATAGCACGTCCATCCTCTAGAGCTGTAGGAGATTTTGAGCTTAGGCTGCAGTAAGTGCGTATATATAGCGGTACTTAGTGCCCTGTGATGGGAGCGGACTTACAGGCTGATTATCAGAAAGTTTCCGACACAGGAGTTTCCCCTCTGGCACTCGTGTGTCCTCACCCAGCCTCCTTCAGCCAGGTCGCCTCCCTCTGTGCTTGTCCTTTAAGCAGAGTCACTTCAGGCTCACACAC